CTATAAAATTATCGGCAAAAACGGAGTTATTTTCGTGATAGACAGCTTTACCGTGTTGGATAAATACCTCAATAGCATCTTTCCAGTTATTAAAAGGTTTTGCAACTAATGCATTAAGCTTCTGATGATCTCCTTTTCCACTAAATTCGCGTGCAAAAACTGCACAATACCTACACACTGCACCTTGGTCACCTTTGGCGGTATAGCTAAGCCACTGAAAACGTTTTAGCCAACTTAATTGAAATTTTAAGTTTCTTTTTTTGGAAATGGGAACCCTGCTTAAAATACCCTGCTTAAAATACCCCATAGAGACCTATACAAAATAATCTATCGGGCGCTACCGGATTCTATATGTGCATTTGTCCATGGGTTTTTCCGGATACAGCCCGATAGAAAATGTATAGGAAATTACCTATAGGCACACCATAACTTTTACATTTTCCCTATTGAGACCGATAGAAAATAACTCAATGAAGGATATATAGGGATATCCCTATAGAGCAACCATAAAACATTTGACAAAATTTTATTAAAACCTATAGGGTCCTATAGGGAAAAAACTAATTTCTACATTTATGTGTATTTTCCCCATTGAAACCGATAGCAAATAAATCAATGGTGGATATCCCTATAGAACAACCATAAATCTCAACTACGGGTCCTATACAAACCGATACACCCTATAGAAACACCATACATCCCGATACAAATATCTATCGGTTTGAACAGGGTCTCTATGGGGTATTTTAAGCAGGGTACCCCATAGAGACCTATACAAAATAATCTATCGGGCGCTACCGGATTCTATATGTGCATTTGTCCATGGGTTTTTCCGGATACAGCCCGATAGAAAATGTATAGGAAATTACCTATAGGCACACCATAACTTTTACATTTTCCCTATTGAGACCGATAGAAAATAACTCAATGAAGGATATATAGGGATATCCCTATAGAGCAACCATAAAACATTTGACAAAATTTTATTAAAACCTATAGGGTCCTATAGGGAAAAAACTAATTTCTACATTTATGTGTATTTTCCCCATTGAAACCGATAGCAAATAAATCAATGGTGGATATCCCTATAGAACAACCATAAATCTCAACTACGGGTCCTATACAAACCGATACACCCTATAGAAACACCATACATCCCGATACAAATATCTATCGGTTTGAACAGGGTCTCTATGGGGTATTTTAAGCAGGGAAAGTTATATTTTTCATCTGGAACCCACACAGCCGTCAAGAGTTTATACTTAAAATCATCGTTTAGTTTTTGATCAAAACTCCAACCGATGTCTAACTCATGAATATTATTTTCCGGAATTGTCGGTATTTCATCTGTATGCAACATTGAATTGGCTGTACCTGTATGGCTGCAACTTGCAGCTTCTTTCGCTGATTCGGTCGACGATTTTGGCTTTTTAACTAAAAAATTAGATAATGAGGTTTGTAAACTTCTTTTTGCCATTACGATGTAATTTCTGTAAGAAAATTATGAATTTACCAAAAACTGATGACTATAAAATTTATAATATAAATAATATTTTATATAACATTACCTTTTGTCCTACTGTAGTAGTTGTAATTAAAATGTTCTTAACACAAATATTATTAGTCTTTTAGCGACTGCTTTGGTGCGGGTAGTTGTGTGCAAATTGATCGACGGCGAGGTATTTACAAACTTAACTTTATTACACTACATATACACAATATACAATACACATATATACACAAACAGAATTATAATTTAAATGTGTTGTCACCCGGAGCCGATGTACTCAAAACGGGGAGTCAGTACGTTCTGTCCGGTGATAGACCAAGACCTTTTCCAAGAGCCCTTTGGTCACCCACCCCTAATCGTGGTAGGGGATAGGTAGGAAACATTTGGAAAAATTAAAGCGCATCTATAAAAAGGTAATAAAAATAAAATTAAATAAATTACTTTGGGTAAAGGAACCGTAGAGGTAAGTAAGCAATAGTAAAAGATGTTTACTGATGTTAGGAAACTCCAATGTTTTACAAGGCTCCAGGTAACAAACACACGCTCTATGCAATATACTATTTACAACCTACTACCTGAAAAATTTAAACATAATTACTGAATAATAATAATTCGAAATACATAGCAATCAATTAATAAAACTTATTATAAAAATCAGTTAAATTGTACTATGACAGACAAGAGTGGGAAATCCAGTCCCCACAGTCTATTAGTTAGTTAGTTAGTAATAGTCACTATTATTTACCAAGTTAAATATTATCACAAAGTACTAAGTACATAATACACATTACAAGTTTTTTGCGCGCCACTTGCCTAACATTTTCTAAAAATTATAAACAAATCTATTCTGGGAATTCTCCTAAAGCATGCGACGCACGCACGACAGTTTACTGTTGAGAGAGAGATTTTTTCACTCCCACGCTAAAGTAAAGAAAACTGTACATCTGTTTGCCACAAGGCTTTACAGAGGGCGCAATTTAAAATTTTTATAACTAACTTTAAATAAATATTTATTGATTTACTTTAATAAGTAAATATGAAAACTATCAACAAAAATGTAACTTTTTACTGTGTATTATTTTTTTTTATATAAATTTATATTTTGGGATTTTATTTTCTTTCGGGGGGGTTTGAACCCCCAAACCCCCCCCCTAGATACGGCCCTGCTGTTGCTACATTGATGATTGCTTTGTGTAGATTGTAGACTGTTGCTACGTTGATGATTGCTTTGTGTAGATTGTAGCTGATGCCACTTTTATGTAGATGTAGACTGTTGCCAATTAATTTCCCACATCCGGTTCGAAGGACCAAAAAATGTTGTAAATTGTGAAATGAGGTTGTAAAATGAATCCTCGACGGATCACAAATTATTGATGATTGTGCAATTTGATTGAAACACTCACTTAATTAAAATAACACAACTTTATTAACTATGTACATTACAAAATGTTGCCCAAAGATCTGCTGATCATAGAGCGAACATGTTAATCTTACGACTGCTTAATGTTGACTCTTAAAATATGTGCAAGAAGTAAAAGTTATACTCCCTTAAATCAAGTGACATTATTTGTAACATTATAATGTCATCCTAGGACTATAAAATAAATAGGTATACAATTGATCATAAAAACGAATACTACTTAACTATAATATTAACAGGTATTAAATTGACCAACATTCGTTGAAATATACTAATAATCCTTTCTCGCTTGTCAAGTTGATTATCTTTTTTTCAATGCACCATTTTTCGTACCGATCAAAAGCTTCTTGATTTAGCTGGCACCAGATGCGAAACAACATTAAAAGCTTCCTTCTCCTATTTTTAAATGTGAAACAGCTTTGACAATGACTGACAGAAGAAATTTATTCACATTCGTAGCTATGCTTATTGCTAAATTAGTATAAATTCTTATTACCTGCCTCCTATATTTAATTTTTAAACATTTTATTTTTGCTCAAATATTTATTAAAATAATAATAATAATAGTTATAAATGTTGTACGTAACACGTAGGATACTTTATTATTAACGCACTTATGTGATTCCACCCCTCGGCCTACGGCCTCGTCGAGCAAATTTTCTCATGCGTGCGTTAATAATATCCATATCCTACTTAAGTAACAATTGTTACGTAAATAACTATTATAACATTAGAAACTACCGTTGTCATATATCCTTATGAACCGGGACATTTCAAAATAAAATTATACATAAAAGTTAGGTTTTTACTAGGGGTGTGCGAATAGCGTTCGAATCGAATCGAATCGAATAGTACTATTCGATTCGAATCGAATAATTCGAATTTACGAATTATTCGAAAAATTCGAATTATTCGAAAATTTTCGAATTATTCGTTATTTTTCGAATTATTCGTTATTTTTCGAATAATTTGAATTTTTCAAAAAGTTCGTTTCTGTTTTAATTAATTATGTAATATTCTTAATAATTTGTAAATTTAAAGAAGTAATTCAAAGTTTCCGAGTAATTTGTGAATTATATTCCATAATAAGTTAATTTATTACTCAAAATATTACTAATATTATTATTGTAAGACTTTTTCTTGAATTTTTTAACTAATTAATTCAACTCAAAAAGAGTATTTTACTCTTTTTATATCAGCATTCGGTTATTTACGGCATTTACCGGTTTCTAAGGATTCATACTAAAGTAACTTCACATAAATGGAGCTAACTTCAAATCAATGTCGATAAAAACGATCATGATAAATCAGAGGTTTGAACATCTCAAAATTCGAAAAATATCAAAAAAATTGACGATGGGTTCGAAAATTTTTAAATTATTCATCCATTCACGGATCATTCGTAAATTTTTGAATTATTCGAAAAATTTTCGAATTATTCGAAAATTTTCGAATAATTCGAAAATTTTCGAATAATTCGTGGATTTTTCGAATGATTCGAATTTTTCGAATAATTCGCTAATTCGAATTATTCGATTCGAATTTCGAATCGAATAATAATATTCGATTCGATACGAATTATTCGTAAATTCGAATTATTCGCACACCCCTAGTTTTTACAACTCGGGAAAAACTTTATTTCTACGTAAAATTTCTACTGGGGAAAGGCACAATATTTTTTTAACTTAAGCTTGGTTATGTTTAATTAATTGCCATGAACCCTTAATTAAGGCATTTAAATTTAAAACTAAGGCAAAATTTTTTGTGCTACACACAGAAAAAAACGTTTTGCGGTTAGGATTCAAGTCAAACTCCCTCAGAAGTTGGTTTAAGCAAATTTCCTCGAAATTCAGTTGTATGATTGTGACGGTCATTTATGAAAGTGACGCCCAACTCTAATTGAAAATACACATTAAATGGAATTAAAATATAAATGAAATGAAACCCTGTAAATATTTACATCATTATCGCGTTAATACAATTAAAAAAACAAACAAAAGCTGATATAAATATTTATTTATTTCATTAGCACATAGACCCTGGCCACCCAACCAATCCCTTGTCTATGGACCCTGGGCAAAAGAGCAAAATTAAAAAAAAATTAGATACATTTTATAACCTCCAATATCTTTATTGTAATAATAATTATTTATAATAAAATATAACAAAATAAACTAAAGTAATCAAATTAAATGAACAAAATAGATCTAGAATATTGGATAAAGTGATTCATATAAAGCAGTGGATCCAGGATTTTTGGAGGGTAGGGGGTGCATAGCTTTTAATTTTTTCTAATAAAATTTTGTTCTAAATTCACTGGGGATTTCGGAGCCAAAAACCTCCCGTTAATCCTTCACTGATATAAAACAATCTCCCTTTTACAATGACCATGAATGACCACGAATGACAACTAACAATAGAAAAATAACCTAAAAATAGTACTTACTTAACATTTCTGAAAAAGAATTTATCGCACATTTAATTGTTAAATATAAATCTACATACACAACAATTTTAATTTATTTATTTTATTATCAAAAGAATGGATATATTATTTATGACTTATTATTGACTATTTTAATTTAACATAAAAAATACTGAACGAGTTTAACATTCACGTCTGTATATTTTCTCCATAACTTTAAAGAACAAATTATGTGGCAGACCCTTTGATATTTGTTGGATATGCGTACGGATGATATTAAAGCTTTCCTCTTCATAAATTGCATAAGTGTTGGGCAGACTTAATTCCTCATAAAGATTACGGATTTTTTTAATTGATTCCGGCTCTGATTTTCCGTAATGTTCATCCATTATTTGACGCTGACTAGGGCTGGCCCTCTGAAGAGCCACCACTGCTAACCAAGTGCATTTTCCCTCCCTGATATCCGTTCCCTTTTTACCAGTTACCTCGGGATCTCCAAAACAATCCAAAAAGTCGTCCTGTAACAGATACAGATTATCAATATACTTTAAATCAAATCTTTATTGTTTTCATGAAACAATGTTTGTGGAATATGTCAAGGGTACAAAATATATAAATAGTCCTATGAGAAATAACATCAACATACATAATTGGATAGTCCTACAATTTTGTTTAAAATTTATTACACGATTATACTGGAATGCATTACACAATAATTGCCATCGCTATTACTATCGCTCAACTGAAATCCACTAAGAGTCTTTAACTTTGTAAAAGCACTCTTTAAGTAAAAATCGTTTTATTGTTTTTCTATTAAGATGTACATTTTTATGGTTTTTGTTGTCTAATAGGTGGTATAAAGCTACATGATTTATTATAGGATTTATTTAATATTCTCGCTGCTTAAAAAACCCCATAGAGACCTATATAAAATAATCTATCGGGCGCTACCGGATTCAATATGTGCATTTGTCCATGGTTTTTTCCGGATACGGCCCGATAGAAAATTTATAGGATATTACCTATCACGGTGCTGTTCTGAGAGGTGATTTTTGGACTTTCTGTGAAACCTATTTTTTTTATGTTCTTGTTAATTAGGTCATAACTAAAATTTTAAGAGCAAAATAAAAAAAATTTGACGGTTAATTTTGTTTTAATTGGATGTTTATTAAAAATATGTATGCACACTTTCAATTTTCCAATTAAAACTTGCGATTTTATTTAAATATTATCATAACTTTTTAAATCAGATTAAAGATTAGTTAATTTCCTAAAAAAAGGTCTATACATTTTTTATATCTTTTACTGTTTTGTTGTAATACACGTTTAAAGTTTTAATTTAAGGTTAAATGTATAGTATACATTTATTAAACAATAATTCTAAGGGTGCCACATTTTATTTAGGGCCGATTTATTCATTTTTTATTTATTTGACGAATAATTTCTTTGGATACTAGATATTGCCAAGACATGAAAGTTATCGGCCCGATAAACTTTACTAAAGATGAATAAACCGGTCCTTAGTTAAATTTCATGAATTTATTCGTAACTTTTACTACAATTTTTCATTTTTGTTTATAAAAAACACTTTAAAAAACTAAACAAAAATTATAGAATACGTATACTGAAAATGACAATTCAAACGTCAAATAAATTTTTAATAGATCCAAGTTTCATGGCAACCTTTAAGGATATATTAATTAAGGGAACATAAATGTATACGTCAAAGGTTAGATTAAAAGTTTAAACGTTTATTGCAACAAAACAGTAAAATATATAAAAAAAATTGAAAAAACCTTTTTTTTAGTTATGCAAATATTAAATATTTAAATTAAATCGCTAGTTTTAATTGGATAATTGAAAGAGTGCCTAATATTTTTAATAAACAGCCAATTAAAACAATTCAAACCGTCAAATTTTTTTTATTTTGCTCTTAAAATTTTAGTTATGACCTAATTAACAAGAATATAAAAAAAATTAGGTTTCACAGAAAGTCCAAAAATCACCTCTCAGAACAGCACCGTGCCTATAGGCACACCATAACTTTTAATTTTCCCTATTGAGACCAATACCAAATAACTCAATGAAGGATATATACTGCCCCACTATGGACTACTCCATAGTAGGGCAGTATAGGTATATCCCTATATAACAACCATACCACATTTGACAAAATTTTATTAAGACCTATGGGGTTCTATGCTGCCCTACTATGGAGAAAGGCAGTAACTGCAAAAAAATGCAAAATGCGTTTTCTTGTGCTATGGTAAAGCTATGGACATTTTGTAACCAAATTCAACACAGAAATGCAGTCAAATATCTCATAAGTTAAAAAAATCAATTTAATACCTACTGCTTTTTATAAAAATGTAGTTTATGCTAATTTTCCACAAATTTCTTGTTTAGCAGTTACTGCCTTTCTCCATAGTAGGGCAGTATGGGGGAAAACTAATTTCTACATTTATGTGTATTTTCCCCATTGAAACCAATAGCAAATAAATCAAGGGTGGATATCCCTAAAGAACAACTATAAATTCCAACTATGGGTCCTATACATACCTATACACCCTATAGAAACACCATACATTCCGTATTTTAAGCAGGGCTGTGGTGTATTATAAAGTAATTATGCAGCTGGTTCTTTGTGACCTGGCTAGTTCTGTTTTTGTATATATATGTTTGTTAATAGCTTCAGGAATAGAAAACACGGTAATGTTGTGATCTTTATGTCTAGGAAAAGAGGTTTGCATGGTTGATCATATGGAACCCTGGCTATGCAGCGAAGAACGCGCTTTTGTGCTCAAAATACACTTTCGAAACCCGATGAGAGACCCCATACGCTAATTTGTATTGAATGATTGCTTAATAAAAATTACTAATTGTGGATTAATCATAATTTACTTTAGGGCTCGTACTTAAAACCATGTTGTATTAATTTGTTTTGTTAGTTTTTCGCATGCTATGTTTTTGTCTATAGTTATACCCAGCAGTTTGTTCTATGTTTTTCCCATTTATTTCTACATGCCATATGGTAATATAATTTATTTGTTTATTATGAGAGTGAAATTTTAGATAATAAGATTTTAAGACTGTGGCGTTTAGGTTTTTGTTGATACCAATTTTTGCGAACAGCTACTCATGTTTTAAACTTTGCGGAGAGCTGAGTATAGTATAGTATATGGCTTTAAAAGGTCAACAGCAAATTACCTTGTGGGCGCCAAGTGATCGTTTAAAAGTATTTTTAAATGGTTAGATTGATCACTAAATCTAACATCTGACTGCACTGAAAAAGGTTTAAAGTTATATTAAAAAAAAAGATAATTGAAATTTAACCGCGTTTAATAACGGTAAGATTTAATTTTATCAAAAGTAAACTACCGTTTATAAGTTTGTCCAAATTTAGAGATTACAAGGGTAAATTCACATAACTGTGACGACAATATTTGTTTAAAAACGCAAAACGGTTAAGCCGCTCATACGTCCGACACAAAAAATATTAACAATAATGATACTTAAGGTTCTACCCCTTGTTCAGTTGATGCAGCGTTGACATTCCGGCAGTAAAATGTTGTTGTTTCTCAAATTCGGGGATGTGGCGTCAGGCCAAGATAGGGAAGGAAATCGTTCGGTATAGGTAAAACCGAAAACCGTAAGGTAAAATCTAACTGTGAGGTAGAAGCCGGATTCCTGTATTCGCGCAGGAGAGGGATACAAATTCAGGAAGAATCGTCAAAATCAGGTAATATTCCTATCCAGGTATTGATGTGTCATTCCAGGAGAGTTTTAAAGGTTAAAGGACGCCATGCCGGTGTGCTTTTGCAGAAATCGTAAAACTAGAGGCTTCTAGAGTTCGCGCCAACGTTGAAACCCAGCAACGTACTTTTCTAGATCCTTTTACGCAAAATGCATTTGATTTTTCAATACAGAAACTTTAACTTTAAAACTGCTTTAAAGCGACACACCGCTTCCATTGACATTCTCAAGAAGAAGGAAGAGGGCCGAAAAATCGTAATCAGGATATGAAATTTTTAAGGATTGCGCAAACGCAAAAACAAATACCAACTTAGAAAACATAAATAGAGAAATCATTAACGATCAATAATGGTCTTCTAACCACGATAACCGTTAATTATCAACTTAAAACAAAAGAGAAACCAATCAAAATAGAATTATTATGACTAAACAAAAAATAAACGTCGTTATAACAAAATAAACTTTTCCGAGAAAATAAAGCGCCATCTATACTTGAACAGCCAAAGTTTGTCTTGTCAAATCAAATTCGAATTTTGACATTTAAAAACAACCGAAACAATTTATATTTAATGATTATAAACAAAAGAAAAAGGTATGTATATCGTACTAAGCAAACCAAAGACTAACGACTATAACCAAAACCTGTTAATCCAAAACAGAAAAGTAAGTAATAACATTTAATTTTTTAGTGAAGTTAATACTTGAAAATGTAAGCATTTAAATAAAAATTAAAGAAACCCAAGGGACTAGAGAAACGAACAACGTCTGCCAACAAAAAGTTCACATCTTCAGTATGTAAACATCATATCAACAAACGCAAGTTACTTGATGCAAAATAGTAAAACAGTTAATAATAATCAATCGTGCCATCGATCAACTGTAAATTATTAATATTTAATTATTGCAAACTGAATTGAATATCAAACCTTGGTATTGCATAATCTTAACTATTAACTTTCATTGCAGATAATCTAAGAATAATCCATCAAGTGTCGTTCCAAGGTAAAAATGTTTAAACAAAATACTTTATGCAGACATTGAGGTGTAGTGAGTTTGCCTTAAACCAATGTGTTGTTTCTGCAGATTATTGGCAATTGATCGTTCCATTCTTCCTGTTGTTCAGGAAACACCATATTAAAAGCGCAGCTTGATGTGAAATGTTTTAGACTACTCAAAGACGGCACATACCAAAAAATATCTACCGATCCGACTACGTACCTGGAGAAGACAAACCAAGGCCAAGATCAAGGCTAGCCGAATCAACAAGGATGAACAACAAAGGCTTATTCCAAGAGAAAAGTCGTCAAAGTGGCCAAAGCTATACGGCCTTCCAAAGATACACACCACTAAGACCTATCGTCAAGAGCTCGCAAGATTTCTGGCTAAGTAGATGCAGCTGTTTGTCGAGGAAGCGGAATCTTACGTAAAAAACGTAAACCACTTCATCGAGAGCATAAAGGACAAAAAACTGGAAACAGGCGACGTGCTCGTCAGCTTCGATGTCGTATCTCTCTTTAAGAATATTCCAGTCAGCGAAGCCTTGGAGAAAATTCAAAGAAAATAACTAATCAGTGATGACATCGCAGAGCTAACCTAACACTGCCTTCAGAACATGTATTTCATATACAACGATCAGAAATACAAAGGTCAAGGTGCTCCAATGGGCTTCCCAATTTCGCCAGCAATAGCCAACTAATTCAAAGAAGACATAGAAGTACGAGAAATCGAAACGGCAACACTAAATCAAAGTTATGGCTACGGTACG